AAATTCTTTATTCTTATAAAATTTAAATAAAAAAAGTTTTATTAAATTTGATTAGATAGTTGTTAAGATATTTTTGTTTAAAGTTTTAAAAATTTGAAATACAGTATTTATTAAAATAAAGAAGCTAAATTAAATTTTTTTAAAACTTTGAGCAAAAATATCTCAACTACTATCTATTCAAATTTAATAAAATATTTAATATTTAAAATTTATAAAAATAAAAAATGTAAATAAAAAAAATTATTAAACTTAATCAAATAGTTATCAAAATAATTTTACTCAAAATTTTAAAAAATTTGGTAGCTTTTTATTTTAATAGATATTTTGAATTTTTTTTAAAACTTTAAGTAAAATTATCTTAACAGTTATCTAATCAAATTTGCTAAACTTTTTTTATTTTAATTATATAGGTTTCTATAAAATTAATAAAAAAAATTTATTAGATTTGGTTAAGTAGTTGTCAAAATATCTTTATTTAAAGTTTTAAAAAATTATTTTAATAGATGTTTTAAGTTTTTTTTTAAACTTTAAGCAATAATATCTTAATAACAACTAGCCAAATTGATAAAAATTTTTTTATTTGAATTAAATAAACTTATAAAATAAAATTTATTAAATTTTATCAAGTAGTTGCTAGAATATTATTGCTTAAAGTTTTTGTTTTGTTAAAAAGATATAGTTAATAAATTTGTAAGTATAAAAACTAGTCCTCTTAATATATTTGATTTATATCTTATACAAATAAACTTATATTAATATTTTTGAAGCATTTAAGAAGTAAATATAAAGAAAAACTTGAAAGCTTACCAAATTATAATGATGAAGTATAACTAAATTTTTAAATTATATTATAACTAAATTAAATTTATTTAAATTATTAATTTTATTTTTAGTTTGTAGCTGATGAATTTAAAAAAAAAGTATTAAAATGGATTGTATCTGATAAACAAGCATTTACAACACTTGAAAATCCTGAATTTCAAAACATGTTAAAATATCTATAACTTAATCTTCAAATTCCATTAGCTAATACAATTAAAAATGATTTAGATAAATATTATAGTAAAACACAACAACAAATTAAGCAAGAATTACAAGTAATTTTTATTAATTTTAAATTAATTTTTAATTATAATATAATTAATTTAATTTATTTTTATAGAATATTTTTAGTTCATTTTTATTTACTATTGATTATTGGACTAGTAAAAATCAATTACTATTTTTTGGTATTAATATTCATTAGATTAGCAATGAATAGGCTTTACAATTAATTGTTTTAGATTTTTGTTATTTACCTGGCTCTCATACTGGAAAAAACTTAGCAACAAAATTTTTAGAAGTTTTAAATAATTTTAATATTAGCTCAAAGATAATATTTAAATTTTTAATTATTTAAATTTTAAAAAATTATTAAATTTTATTATTTTTTTTTTTTAGTTATTAGCAATTATATGTGACAATGCAGCTAATATGGATAAAATGCTTAAATATATTGAAATTGAAGTAAATAATCAAAATATTAATTTTGATTTGGAAAATCAACATGTGAGATATCTTGCTTATATAATTAACTTGGCTACAAAAAAATCTATAGAACAACTTTATATTAAATATAATTTTGATAATAATAATAAAATTTTAAAAGATAAAGATACAAAAAAATTAGATAATATTATTTTTTAAGTAAGTTTATTTTATTATTATTATACTTTTTTTTTTTTTTTTTTCTTTAATAATCTCGTACAAATTTATTAGTATATGTAAGCTTAGACTAGCTAGACTATCTAAAATCATATTTGGCTAATACCCAGCTACTATAAAAGTACCCAAGTATGGTTATCACATTGATGTTAGCCAACAAATCCTATATGTGCTGCTATATGTATTTAAAAATTTGCTATAACCTGGTACTCAGCTACCTTTGGTCTTCAACTTTTCCTATCTAAGTCTGGGCAAAATAGTTTATCTCTTACATTTTCATAAGGGAAGAAAATATATGCCAAATTTACGAAAGAAAATTACAAGTATAAAACTAGACAAAAAAGAAAAAGAAACAAATTTTCTAACTTGAATTCGATCATAAATAGACAGAAATAAAACCAGCAAAAGC